CACCTGCTGCTTGGACTAGGAAGACACAGTGTGCATTTCCTCTGTTAAAGATTCCAAGCAAGTCCTTGACACGGATGTTGCTGCAAAATAAAGAAGGTGTATTCTTCCTAGTGTCCTTATGCCCAGGCGATGATCTGGACATGGACCAAATCCTCAAGCCCTTCGAATCCACCACGCCCTTCAACCATTGCAAGAGCCAGCTGAATTGGTTCAATGGTTTCCTGGAAGCCAAAAGGCCCCTCGACGGACACTGTAAGCTTTCCTTAGGATTAAGGATTTGTACCTCCCCAAATTTCTGGCAGGCTGGGCAAGAACATCGTGGAGGCCAGCAGAAATTTCTGGGGGCCAAGTGTCTTGCAACGTGGGCATTTGGTCCACGTGGATGGTGGCTTTTTCGTATGCTTGGGTGGCACGCCTGCTTTGATGTATGCAACCCGCTTGCATATTTCCGCAGAATCAAACGTAATGCAGGGTGTCTTGAGGAAGGGTCTATTTCTATTCAACGAATTACCCCTGAATGATCCGAGGCCCTTGCTTTGAGGGAGCTTGACATCGTTTTCGAGGGCAGTTTGCCGAAGCGGACCGTGGATGAGACCAGAGTTTGGGCCGGCGAGGCCGCCACCACTGAGTGGTCCGATGGTCTTAAAGACGGCGAGAGTGTCAAGGTCTTGTCCCTCGTCAGTGGCACGAAGCCCGTCGGCAAGTCTTTTCCATTGTCCTAAGAGCAAGCCTGGTGTTCACGCTTGCTCGCTCAGAGCATCCTGATGCCAACGAAGGAAACCGGTCAAGAAGATGCTGCTGGATGTGGGCGAGGCCGAGTAGACCAGGACTCATGTTCAAATCCATGCTGTCCCTAAAAGCCGTTTCCCAGGCTGAAGTCTTCGACTACACGCTTCACTGGGCGACCGGCCCGCTGGTGACCAAAGTGGGCTTCGCATGCTTTCTCCGCAGAAGCATGAAGGGGGTGTCGGTTCTGGTTTTCCTCATCAAGACCGCAGCGATCGTGAAGCTCACCTCCGACAACTTGTCCTGCTTGCTGCAGCGATATGGTGTGGCGACTCGCAAGAACTGCACGAAATCTTTTAAGATCCGGCAGTTGATGAAGCTGCAGGAAGTGACTGAAGCCTGCACAGCACAGCAGCTGGAGGCCTTGGAGAAGATGCTCACTGAAATGGATGCCAAGCGAAGAAAGGACAGGACGACTCCCGAGAAGGATGATGGAAGCGACCAGGAGGCCAGTCGGATGGGTGAAGTCTGGAAGTTTGCAACCCCTTGAACTTTTTAGGCTTCGGGTGTTCCGTTTATTTGCACCAATCAGGTCCCAGACGAGAACTTCGGCGACATGGATGATCCGGCCGTGGACTTTGCCCAGCAAATGCTCCGGGAGATCGAGGATGAGGAGGAAGACGAGCCGGAGGAGGCACCTGACTGCCTGGACCCGACCGTTGCAATAGTTGTGTTTTGTTTTTTTGTTTGGCAGTTGTTGTTTTCCTATGACTAAGTGGCTTCTTGTGTCGGAAACGCCAAAGCTGGCAGAATTATAGGATGGTGCTGCCGACGGTGCGGCGGGCGACACTGCAGAGCCTGCTCCGCAGGCCGCTGGGGCGGCTGGCAGCGACCAGGTCGAAGGAGAGCGGCTGCGAGACAGCAGAAGGGCACTGGCCTCTTGCAATGCTGTTCCTGGATGGCTCTCCGAAAAGTATGCGATGCCGAGCGACTGCACTGTGATCCACGTCGTGCACACGGGGCGAACTCTGCCACACTTTCAGATTCGCCTCGGCGGCGGCAGGATGCATGATGGGAAGATACTTGTTGGCACATTATCTTGATTGTCTCTGTTTTGAGAGACGGTTAGAAGGACCTGCTGATTCTATACGTTGCCGATTTCTTTGATGCAAGCTGCAAGTTTCTGCAACTCAGGATGAGCTGCAGTGCATCGTATAATCCGGAGCTGGATGTGATGGCCATCGACACTGCAAAAGATGCCATCGGAAAGCTCTCGGCGAGGCGGCGATCGCAGCTTCAAGCTTGGTTCATGTGCTGGACGTGGGCCAAGGCAGCCGAGAGCGGATCGAAGCGCCGAAGGGTGTGAAAAAAAGGAGGGCGGGACTGCAGCTCCGTGTAATTAGCCCCAACCTCAACCTCGAGAATAAGTTTCGCCTGCTGAAGTCAAGATACCAAATAGGAGATTTCCTGAGGCACACACATTTCTAAAGAGTAGTATATACCCCCAACCCAACCGCCGAAGCAGAACGATGATCTGAGCTAGAACGGCCCCTGAAGCAGACCGGCTATGGACACCTATGATAGATTGCTACAGCCCCAGAGCCCAACCCGCCCTGAAAACCCAAACCCCCAAAGCGTCCAAAGCTCAAATCCAAAGCCCCAAAACAGATGCAAAACAACCACCATGAAACCACAACCCAGAAGGATGCGCGCCTAAACCGGACCTGAAATGATTCTCGAAGGAGCCCGCAAGGAGACCATGAATTGAAGTCTACAACCTAAACCCTAAACCCTAAACCTACACACTAAACCCTAAACCCTAAACCCTAAATCCTAAATCCTAAATCCTAAACCCTAATCGAAAGAAAACACAAACTATTCAACCCTGAACCCAACCTCCTAAGCTCCAACGCAGCACACAAAACTCTTCTGCGAAGCAGGTGGCCGAGCATGCCGCAAGCCCACAGCGACCACCTCAAGGCCCAGCTGGACGCCGCCTTGGGAAACGGGTTCAAATTGAATTTCTACGGTTGTATTCTTAAGCATCTTAGCAGGATTCCGCTTGTAGCTTTGTTGGTTTAGGTCCTGGGTTTCACATTTCCGGAAGCCAAAGACATGCTGGAATTTACTGTTTAGGGCTTGATTTCTCACAGGCCCGGAATTACTGAAAAAATGTCGGGCAAATGCAACAAACATCAACAGCCCGAGCAAAAGAGAGAGGGAGGCAACGCCAAACAGTAAGGAGGTCCCGGCGACAGGTCAGCCGACCGCCTATAACAAGCATCTTGCTATGGTCTTTGTGGGGCGTTCACTATTTGCGGCCTTGATTTCACGAAACCCTGAAGGCCTACCAGGCAAACCGAATCTGGGATAGGGGCCTTAATAGTTTGAACAGGGCCCTGAGGTGTTCTATCATACATGTGAGGTGACAGTAGTGCTCGTGGTTCAGACCGCTGCATTTCCGAAACCCCAAACTCCAGCCCGAAGCCTGCCCAACTGATACCATGTACGGCTCAGGGTCCCCAGGGTCACCATCTACCCCTTGCTCCAAAAAAACCCTAAACCCTAAACCCTAAATCCTAAACCCTAAACCCTGAACCTCTTCAAGAATGTGCGAGCGACCAACAGAAAGGGGCTAAGCGCTGAATCCTTAAGCCCTGTAGAACCCCCATATAGAACCCCAATGCAAGCAATTCATGTAGACCTTTGTACAAACTTTTAAACCCTAAAGCTCTAAACCATATCAACCCTGTAGTCCCCTAAAGGGCGCATCGAACCCACAGCCTTGAACCTAGTGTAGGGGCCTTAATAGTTAGAATAGGGCTTTTTGGGGTTCCTTTGTTATAGTAGTTATAGTATAACATACACCAAACCCCCCTAAACCCTAAACCCTAAACCCTAAACCCTAAACCCTAAACCCTAAACCCTAAACCCTAACTATTAAGGCTCCTACATTAAAACCCTTTTGCCGAAAGCCCCTGCCTGCCCGGTGAGAAGGCAAAGGCCCAGCTGCAAGCTGTTGAGTGCTGGGCATGCCTGGCACCAGCTCTTCGATGGAGGTTTTTGGGGTTTTGGGGTTTTTGGGGTTTAGGGGTTTAGGGGTTTTGGGGTTTAGGGGTTTTGGGGTTTTGGGGTTTAGGGGTTTAGAGGCGCCTTGTTAGAATAGGACCCATTTTCACAGTTCCTTTAAGGTGCTCGGTCTTGGGAAGTGACCCAACCCAAAACGTGTCTGAAGCAAGCTCCACGTCAAGGATGGAACTAGCTGCAGGGGAATGCTGCATTGAGCCCCTGATTTGCAGAATGCTTTTTGACAGGTTCTCGTCTCAAGGCCTTGGCCGGGTCGGCGGCCAAACGACCAGTGGTGGCGCATCTCTCAGCATGTATCGCGCACGCGACAAAACGTCAATGCCACGGTCGGACATTGAGGAAGGTCGGCGCATGGAACGCGCGATGGCACAGCTGCTTCCCTTGTGGGAAATCCAGGAGCGCCAGTCGCTAGCGCTTTCTACGGATTGTCTCCCGTCTGCGTCAACACTCCACACAACGTCACAGGCAAACCCCCGACGCCGTAAGCTGCATCTGACTTAATCTCACCTAACCTCACCTCACAGCTAGCCCTATACTGACCTGACCTAACCTAATCTAGTCTAACCGAACCTGCCCAGGCGGGTCAGGGCGATGCTGGGATCTGGGCATTGCTGTGAGCTGAAAGGAAGGCAGGCCGGGTGTAGACCAACCAGGAATTGCTTGGGTTTAGGGTTTAGGGCCGCCTACACAAGAACCACGGGCAAAGGGGAGCCGAAGCAGGAACACCAGGCACCGCGACTTCCGTTCAACGCGATATGTACTGATGAACTGATGCCAGTTTCACCTCAACGGGGTTATAAGGACTACACTGAAACAAGCGTCTGATGAACTTGTCAGAATATCATCCCTTGCAGACCCTACATATATAGTCGTGCCGCAATCTATCCGACAATCTACGTTGACTATATCCAGGCCCCACTCATAAAACCTTGCAAGACTCTGTTCTTGTTTCTACGGCTCGTACATGATACGCGTTGTATCTGCTCTAACCCTAAACCCTGAACGCAAAAACCAAACTCCGCCCCAAAACAACGGCGAGCTCGCTGTGATGAACCCGGCAGCGAGGCAGGGGTGGGCGAAGGCCTGGCATCGAAAAGGATGCAGCCTGTAACCCTAAACCCTAAACCCTAAACTCAACTGTAGGGTTTCGGAAGTTTGAGCTTCGGGGTGTGGGACTTCAGGAGTTTAGGCATTGGGGGTTAGGCTCTGGGGTTTGGGGTTTAGGCTCTGGGGCTTTTGGGGTTTAGGGTTTTGGGGTTCGGGGCTTAAGCTTTGGGGTTTGAGGGTCCCGGGTTTGCAGGGCTTGGATAGCCCTGTCGATGAGTCCTAAGTTCTAAACCGTTACTTTTTTAAGGGTTTAGGGTTGAGGAGTTTAGGGGTTTAGGGTTCAGGGTTTAAGGGTTTAGGGTTTAGGGGTTTAGGGTTTAGGGTTTAGGGGAAGTTGAGGGCTGTCGAACATCAACGTGTAGGGCCCAGTCTTCGTGATGTTGAACGCATTTGGGGGGTTTTGACATTGAGGTGTAATCCCTAAACCCTAAACCCTAAACCCTAAACCCTAAAACCCTAAACCCTAAACCCTAAACCCTAAACCCTAAACCCTAAACCCTAAACCCTAGAGCCCTGAAGAGCTTCCCGTCTGAGGTCCTTCGGGGGCTTCGGACTTGATGGGTTTAGAAGTTACATGGGTAGTTTTTAAAAGGGGCCTTAATAATTAGAGTAGGGTTTTGGGGCTCCTTTAAAGGGTTCTATAAGGGATACTATAAGGGTTTAGAAAACGAGGGTCCCTTGTTAGGTCCCCCCAAACAAGTACGGCACCCCTTAAAAAAAGGGCCCTAAAAGGGACCCTAACTTAGAGAACTACCCATATGGGTGGTTGTCAAAATTATGGTCCCTTTTTGGGTCCTTATTCTAATACGGCACCTATTATTCAGGGTACCCCAAAAGGGATCCTAATTTAGAGAACTACCCATATGCTTTGGGGAACCAAGAGGCCTCATCGCGGCTGAGGCTTTAGATTGAAGGCCACCGGGCTTTAGGTGCTTAGGTCCGGTTGCTGAAGGGGGCCGCCGCAACAAAAAACACATTAGGGTTTAGGGTTTAAGGGTTTAAGGGTTTAAGGGTTTAAGGGTTTAAGGGTTTAGGGTTTAGGGTTTAGGGTTCAGGACGCAGGAAACCTGACTGTGACAGCGGCAGCGTGATGCTGTTTCAGGGCTAGCATACGGGTAGTTCTCTAAATTAGGGTCCCTTTTAGGGTCCTTTTTATGAGGGTGCCGTACTATATTGGGAACCTAGTCAAGGGACCCTAGATTTGAGAACTACCCATGCAGTAACAGCTCGGGAGAAGCGGCTATTGAAAGGCTTTTGAAACCCTAAACCTTGCACCCAAGAAGAGCCAAACCCCTGGCAACCCTAAACCCTAAACCCTAAACCCCAAACCCTAAACCCTAAACCTTAAACCCTAAACCCTAAACCCTAAACCCTAAACCCCAAACCCCTGGCAGAAACAAGGCTGCAATTCTCACCCCCCAAGTCTCCACTCGTAGCTGCTATCGCATGAAGCCTAGATCCCAAAAGCCTCAAATTACGACCGAAAACTAATAGACCCTAACCCTGAAACCCTACATCCTAAACCCTTCATATAGTAGCCCTTATGGAACCCTAGAAATTCATTCTTATCGTAACCCTCTTGCAGCCCTACACCCAAAACTACGAAATCTCAAAAACCTCGGCCGCCTCCTCCTTGACCCGCTGCCACTCAAAAGGCAGCCGCATCCAAGTCTTCTTCGTGGTGCTAGCGTATCGATGCCATACCAGGCCCGGAGGAGAACAGACCGGGTTTAGGGGTGCAGGGTTTGGGGGTTCGGGCTTCTGGGTGTAGGGTTCAGGGCTGAGGGTTTAGGCATATGTTTACGGTGTTTTCTGGAGCGTTACAGTTAAAGGTAGTGCTTCTAGGGGAAGGTTCGATCGTGGCTTTAA